AATATGCTCACAAAGAGTTAGCTCAGATGTTCAATAAATAAATAACTTATCAAATAACGACACTTAACATATGGTAATGTTACTTACTGTATGCCAGTACAATATAATCTTCTTATAATATAAAACCAAACGAGCTTCCCGAAATCACCAGAACACTTGGGCACTTTAGTGTCCCGACCAATCGAAAATTCCGTTTTTCTTCCAGTCGTCGTGTCCCATATCTCCATCGTTATCGTTCTCCAACGGCCGTGTTATCAGTTCAGTTATCGCTCATTGCTCATCACTCGTATTATTGTTTTTCTATACCGTTTTCGCTTTCGCCCAGTTTTCCGGCCTAGAACCTCTTTCCGTCGCGTTCTCGACGCTATGTGAGCGGGTCTTTTCATTCCGGTCACGCGTCTCCAGATTTCGTTCGCGTCCGGAAACGCGTTCTCCGGTCGGTCGTCGTATCATCTGTTTTTACGATACGATAAATCGTTTATCCGTGTCGATTACGCGTTTTTGTTTTCAGTGTCTCCGCGACCTTATCGTCTCGATAGCGTACAATGCGATTATATATGTGTTATATATATATATAATATAATATCATATAAAAACGTGCGTACCGTTGTTTGACGTACGTCAAGATCGTGTTTATTATATACAAAAATCCTTGAAATCGTTACTTCAGTCGTTAGCAATGCCTTTAATCGCATATTACCTTTGGGGATATCGTGATATATTAATATGTGATGATAAACTCGGTACGTCGTTGAACGTATACAGTAAAAATGTAAACGAATACGTCGAAATGTGTTCTAAACGACAATAAATATGCGATTTGCGGTTTCGTGACACGCGGGTCGTAAAAATTGTACGGGTCAAACGACGTATAGTAATTGTGACCATCTACCAAAACGGTTTGGGTAACAAAGTTACCAGCTCGGCGCCAAGCCGTTTACGAATGCGACGAAATACTGATAACAAATCGTTTGACCATGCAATACACATTCATGTCTGCTTCATAAACATGTCGTTCTCCGACGTGTTCGACACGACACAATCGCGCCATTCGACATGCCGGGATCACGCACATATCACCCAAGTATGCGATGTGGCGTGACTGCATTTTACAACATATAACTAAGCACGATCTGACATGCGTCAGCAACGGTGCGCACCTTTCTTTTATGATATTGACCATTATATGTATATGCACATATAATCGTGTTCGTGCGCTGTCGGGATAAGATAGCGGCTTTAAAAACGTCGATAAACAGCCGAAAAACGTATTGACGACGACTTCATTCCGAGCGCCTGCCGAGCTGTCGGAAGACACCGGGCACCAGCGGCCGTTGGCCGATATGGGCGACAACTGGAAAAACGGGCTTTCGTCGAACTGCCCGCGGATTCGGCGGGCTATTATGAAGACCTGGCGCGGCACGGCTGGTAACGACCCTGTATGTTAATATAGATGACTGATAAGTTATTGTTATTGACATCTGGTGTGACACCACTGTTTGAATTGAGCTATTTAACTTGCCTCACAATGACACCTAATTTGGCTTAATTACTAAAAATATTGGTAATAATAAGTGCTTACAATAGTACGTACTAGTTAAGATTATCACTCCTGCTTTCTCAATAAATAATTATAGTACTTTCTTTCATCGCTAAACATAAAAATATAGCCTAATTGAATAACTATTAGAAAGCAGTTGATTGCAATATTATTAATACATAATTGATATTCTTAGTTGCTATTCGCAATATGTACTATACTTTGCTCCATTATATCGAACTCTTTCATGCAGGCAGTGCTTGCGAGGTGAACGATTATGACGTGCGACATTATATTATAGAATTAAGTTTACGAAGATACAATATTTTACTTTCTGAATGTATAATAGAGTATATGGTGACAATATAATATGTAAATGAAAGTTCTGTCAAGTGGCCATATGCAGATAAGATGCGACGACGGCGACCATTTCTATGGTATCTGGTAAAACTTCATAACCATAGACTTTCAGAATACTAAGGTCGACTTTCAATTAATGAGACTTTTATAATAAATCTAATACCTATCGATCTTTCAGGAAAATACGATATGATACTGAAAAGCGTTTTACTATGATCAAATAATTTGTCTTTATAAAGGCATCGTAAAACCAAAGTTAAGCATACGTAAACGCAATAAAATTTGTTACAAAATATAAATTACTTTTATAGTTGTTCAATGTTTAGATCTACTCTAAAATAAAATTATATAATATAATCATAAATAGTATATGTTATAAAATACATGTTTATATTTATATGTTTCTGTATAAGTGAACTTTATGAACAACTAGACGAAGAATGGTGAACAGTATGGGATGGAGCCGTTATAATAGAATTATTTTACAAGAAAGTTCATATTTTTTGAGAATGTATGACAATTATATGAATGTTATTATTAACTTTAGATAAAACTTCTCTGAGAAAGTAATAGCAGATAATGTCGCGACAGACGGTGACCATTCACTACTGGATATGGCAACGAGCTTTCGTCCAGACTTTCCAACATAAGTATCGTCCATCGAAAATCATAGATTTTTACTGTCAAATCTTATACATATTTCTAAACATGAATATCATAGCTATATATAGTGGATTTTAATATAATGATATAATCGTGACTATACAAATATTTAAACACAACAAGTTAATACGTAAGCAATAAAATGTTTTGAAATATTAATTAAGGAATTAAGACAACTCTCAAACTATACAACCTGTATGCTGCATGTTCTTATATGGTAAAAATGGCCTGACCTGACGATCCAGTGTATTCTGATGAGCAAGCTTTTTACGTGGTTATTGGCGGTGATGATGCATTTATGCTGGTGGTGTCTGTTACGACAGTGTATATGTCGACCTATAACCCAGCAGATCAAAGTTTACTGTGTGGTGAAATAATAGACGTGACGACTCGACGGTAACAGCATCTCATTCTGGTGTCTGTTTATTGATTTGTTTCCTAGTCTTGTTAGTCGTCAGTTAAGTAAATGATTTTATGTAGCAAAATCTTACCATATCGTATTTCGGAAATATCAGCTACTTTTCTCATGTGTGCATTTTACTGTAACTATATAATGAACTGCTACAGCTCGCCGCCAACATTTAGGGCTGCGTAATAAAAATGACCATACCAAAATGTACACCCTAACCAAGTTCAACTGCGCATTATTTCTAACAAGCTTCTGATATAAATATGTCATCAAGCTGTTTTGTTAAGCCATATTTCTTTATAGTATTGCTGTTTTATGGCATTGTGGCATTCGTTCTGTTTGCTTTTAGAACATTAACAACTCGCATTCTCGCGGCCTGAGCAATTTTGGCGTGAAACTGGGTATGAACAATAGGCACGTTATGGTCATGGTAAGGTTTACAAACGCAATCGCTGTTGCGCATGAAGTTTATTATCAACATGGTGTATTATGTCATGATGAAATAATAGACGGGCAATATTGGCGCAACATTTCTATTTCACGGGTAATAACGACTTGAACGTGATTATGACAATATCAAACTTTACGGCTGTTCATATCGGTAAAGTGTGATTTTACTATGACAACAATGTGACTTTACTGAGGCGTCAACTATGCTGTCTGTGTAATGTTTTACAAATGAAGGTTCATTTCTGACGACATCACTGGCTATATGCAATATAAATATGTCGTGTAAAACTTTAACTACATTGTAACGCCTCTATTGTAATAAGAAAGTACGTTTATGTGTTGCTCACAATTTTATAAGTTTGATTAAGCGGTGTTCTGATGAACGGTGTTGATGATAATATTAGTATGAACGATAAGGTACGTTATTTATTTATGAATTAGGTTACAATTACTGTCTCTTACATTGAAATATTATAATAAATATAGTAACGAAAGTTATGTATTGTATAACAATGTAATAGTGACATTTATCTCATTGCAGATGTATATCTTATAACGACGTGTCCAAACATACTTTTAGAGCGGTAGATGTCGGTTAAATTCGTAGTTTGAAATCGCCTTCTATCGAGGCTAAAACGTAATTCGCCCATATCGGTGGCAAACCCGTTTACCTGAAACCATAACGTGACTTCGCATAACCACAAGTTGAGACTGCGTAACGTAAAAATGTTGTAAAAATATAATTTACATTTTTACCTAATCTTCATAATGGCTGCAATAATAAAATGTGATAGGTAATGTTCTGATAAACTTACGTATTTACCATATATGTATTGTGGCTGGTGACACCTGTGATTAATTCGCTTTTATTCTAGGGCTATAGAACGACCAATATCTGATTCTGATCAATTTTTGTAACATTTAACAAAAGCATCAAATATCTAACGTGTGTTTGGCTACAAGCATAACTTTGATAGACTGAAAATATAATATTTTTAAGTGTCGGTCAACATTGACTAATAAAACAACACAGCTCGATGAACGATTCCGGTAATATTTCGACTGACTACTAAAATATAACCCAGTCCGAAAAATCATGTATGTATTGCAAGTTAAACATTTTTCGATATATTACACTGTTTGAGATTAGGTATCAACACAGCACTTGTACAGTATTGCTATTTTATAATTTAACTAATTACTACTAAAAATATATTATTATTAATAAGTGTACAATAGACTACGTACTATTTAAATTATCTTCAATATATTTCAATAGATAATCATAGTATTTCATTTGATTGCCTAAAATAAAAAAAAATATATACCTACTTTATATTATTATTATTTATTTTAATACGATAAATTATAATTTTATATTATGATATTTGCATTTATGGGCGTATATTTCAATATATATATATATATATACGAACTCTTTTCATGTTGGCAGTTGTTGACGAGGAAAGTAATAAGATTATGAACAATGGATCTCATAATTAATAATTATAAATTAAGTTTTACACGAGTACAATCTTATTTACATTTGTGAATGTATAATAAGTATATGAGATGTATATTATATAACTATTGTAAATGAAAGTTCTGTATGAGTGGAAATAATAGACAGATAATGATCGCGACAGACGGCGACGCATCTTATTTCTGGATATGAATGGTAACGGTGGTTGTCATAACCATATACTTTCGGAATAGTAAAGTCCTCATTTAAATTCGTGGTATTTTATGAAGAAAATCCTTTTACATATCGACTTTTCGGGAAAATAAATATTTGATACCTATCGTGTATAAATTGCGATTTTTACTGTAATTATTATAATTTGACTTTATACAGAATACGTAAAACCCATAAGTTTAAGCATACGTAAGCAATAAAAAATGTGTTACAAAAATATAAATTACTATTATAGTATTCCATTTTTGGATCTATAACAAAATACAATTATAAAATATGTCAATAAATATTCTGTTAAAAACTACATGTTTGTATTTATATGTATTGTAACATAAGTGCATTTATGAACAGTTTTTACAATAGTCGTTGACGGGGAATATATCAAGATTATGGACGATGGAACACGTTATAATTAAGAATTAAGTTTTACACGAGTACAATCATATCTAAATTTGTGAATGTATTATAGGTATATAAGATGTAAATTATATAACTATTGTAGATGAAAGTTCTGTATGAGTTGAAATAATAGACAGATAATGATCGCGACAGACGGCGACGCATCTCATTTTTGGATATGTATTGTAACGACGATTGTCATAAGTCATAACCATACTTTTTTAGAATAGTAAGGTCGTCATTCATATTCGTGGATTTTTATGTATAAAATCCTTATACATATGTAATTTCCGGGAAAATAAATATTTCATACCTATCGAGTATTAATTGCGAATTTTAATATAATGATTATAATGTGACTTTATACGGAGTTTGTAAAACCCACGTGTTTAAGGATATGTAAGCAATAAAAAATGTTTTAAAAAAATATAAATTACTTATGATAGGAGCCAATTCCTTGATATCTTCTTCAACTATATACAATTATACAACATGTCAATAAGTGTTCTGTTAAAAACTACATGTTTGTATTTATATGTATTGTAAAAATAAGCGCATTTAATGTTGGCATTCGGCCTGTTTTATATTTATATAGAACGATTAATTAATGTTTGATTCTGATCAATTTATGAACAGTTTTTACAGTAGTTATTGACGGGGAAAGTAACAAGATTATGAATGATGGAACACGTTTTAATTATTATTTAATTTTTACACCAGTACAATCATATTTACATTTGTGAATGTATAATAAGTATATGAGATGTATATTATATAACTATTGTAAATGAAAGTTCTGTATGAGTGGAAATAATAGACAGATAATGATCGCGACAGACGGCGACGCATCTCATTTCTAGATATGTATTATAACGGCGGTTGTCATAATCCTACACTTTCAGAATCGTAAGGTCCTCATTCAAATTCGTGCATTTTTATGTATACAATTCTTATACATATCAAATTTTCGGGAAAAAAAAAATTTCATACCTATCGAGCATTAATTGCGATTTTTACTGTAATTAGTATAATGTGACTTTATACAGAATACGTAAACCCACAAGTTTAAGCATACATTAGCAATAAAAAATGTTTTACAAAAATATAATTTACCTAATGGAGAGTTGAATTTCTTGATATTATCTATAACAAAATACAATTATAAAATATGTAAATTAATGATCTATTAAAAACTACATGTTTATATTTATATGTATTGTAACATAAGTGCATTCAATGTTGGCATTCGCTCTGTTTTAGATTTTTATAGAACGATTAATTAATGTTTGGTTCTGATCAATTTATGAGCAGGTTTTACAGTAGTTGTTGACGAGGAAAGTAACAAAATTATGAACGATGGAACACGTTATAATTATTAATTAAATTTTATACGAGTATAATCATTTTTACATTTGTGAATGTATAATAAATATATGAGATATTATTATATAACTATTGTAAATGAAAGTTATGTAAGAGTGGAAATAATAGACAAATAATGATCGTGACAGACGGTGACGCATTTCATTTCTGGATATGGATTATAACGGCGGTTGTCATAACCATACTTGTTTAGAACAGTAATGTGGTCATTCAAATTCGTGAATTTTTATGTATAAAATCCTTATACATATCTTATTTCCAGGAAAATAAATATTCCATACCTATCAAGTATTAATTGCGATTTTTACTGTAACTATTATAATGTGACTTTATACAGAATACGTAAAACCAACTAGTTTAAGGATACGTAAGCAATAAAAAATGTTTTACAAAAATATAATTTACCTCCAAAAGGGTTCATTATATTGAGACCCCTCATAACTATGTAAAATGTTAAAATATGTCATTAAATGTACTGTCAAAGGCTACTTATTTGTATTAATATGCATTGTAATAGGAAGTACATTTTATGTGGGCATTTGCTCTTTTTAGATTTTTATAGAATGATTAAATGTTTGATTCTGATCAAAATATGAACAGTCTTTACAGTAGTTATTGACGGGGAAAGTAACAAGATTATGAACGATGGAACACGTTATATTTATGAATTAAGTTTTACGAGAGTACAATTATATTTACATTTCTGAATGTATAATAAATATATGATATGTTATTATATAACTATTGTAAATTAAAGTTATGTAAGAGTGGAAATAATAGACAAATAATGATCTTGACAGACGGTGACGCATTTCATTTCTGGATATGTATTATAACGGCGGTTGTCATAACCATACTTGTTTAGAACAGTAATGTGGTCATTTAAAATCGAGGATTTTTATGTATAAAATCTTTATACATATCGAATTTCTCGGAAAATAAATATTTCATTCCTATCGAGTATAAATTGCGATTTTTACTGTAATTATTATAATTTGACTTTATACAGAATACGTAAAACCCATAAGTTTAAGCTTACGTAAGCACTAAAAAATGTATCACAAAATATAATTTACTTAACGGAGATTCGCACACTTTGATATCTTCTATAACAAAATACAATTATAAAATGTGTCATTAAATGTTCTTATAAAAACTACATGTTTGTATATATATATGTATTGTAACAGGAGTGCATTTAATGTAGGCATTCGCTTTATTTTAGAATTTTATAGAACGATTAAATGTCTGATTCTGATCAATTTTTGAACAATTTTTGTAACGTTTAACCAAAGCATGTAATCGAAAATTGACGAATAACGTTGAACGCCTACTGTAGTGACGAAAACTATAACAGCATAATTTTTATAGTTGATTGAGGTTTAAAAATATAATAATTTTTTTAATTTATCCAGTCAATGCTGACAATGACTAAGTAATAAATAAAATGCCTACAATTGATAGACGATTCCGGTAATATTCCATTTATTTACTAAAATATAACTTGAATCGAAAAAATCATGTAAATATATTATATTCACAAGATAAACTACTATGGTATTTCGAATTACTTATTTTGTTAGCTGTTCGACAAGTGCATCTATTATTTTGAAGTTTTGTTTCACAATGACACTTTTTGATATCTCTAACTCATAGGAATACTATTATGCCGGCAACCCTCGGAGAATAATTTCCTTTTATTTTGCTAAATTTTTTGTTGCCGTTAAGTCAATAAAGATTTCGTCTTATGAAGCTATTTCTGTTATTTGTGCTTTAAAAACCATTTTTTGAACTAATAGTTGTATAAATAAAAAATATTATTTTTTTTTTATAATCTTTCAGTTTTAAATGTAACCATTTATACATCATTTGTACAAGCCATCTTGAATACAGGCGATAATGTTAATAAAATACAAAGTGATCCTCTTGCCTTATCAACATCAGGGATTGGAATTCGAACAGTAGTTCTTACATTAATACGATTTGGTTTCCTGTTTGATTTTTCTATCATTTTTTTAGCCTGTTTTTCTAAACAAGACAATTTAAAAAGAATAGGAGAAATATAATCCGTAACCGGGAGAAGTGGCGAGAAGTTGTAATAGCGGCAAAAACTCTCGTAAAGAAGATCAAGCCAGAAGAAGAAGAATAAGAAGATAATATAAGTACAACCTTAGAAAATTAATATTTTCAATGTTATTTTTTAATCAGAATATTTTTATAAACATTATATACATTTTTTTTGTTAATGTAACATACTTTGTAATAATTTTATCTCTCAGACCCAATCGGAACATCACAAATTTTCGATCAAAAGCACCGATTTTGTATCGTCTGATTTAATATTAAAGTTAAACCCATTAAAAACTTAAAGTTAAAAAACTTATCTGTGTTAAATTGTTGGATTTTTAAATTTTTTTTAAATTTTTCTGTGATTTATGAGTATTTTTAAATTATAATTAATTTATATTCCTCATCTTAATAGAATTCTAAACACATCTACACGAATTGTGTTTATATAAAACAATAATAAATTAAGTATTACGGGTTTAATTTATAATTATACTCTTCCTACGTAGTAAATGTTCGACATTATGACAACTAATTACGATTAGTTAACCTAGCCGTTCAAAAAATGATCAGCTTACAATTGCACCTGTTACAATTTAAATTTCTAAGCAAATCTAGGTTGATAGATTTACAATAAAGGATTTATTTAAGATACCAATCATAGCATATCACGTAAAAATAGACAGATACGCGTTAGCAATGAAGTACATTGCTCTTAAAATCTAATTTCGTTTATGTTTGATTTTTACTTTTCATCTTAAGCTCTGCTGTTTTAATATCTAAAGAAGAAAGTATGTAATTATTAATAATTAATTACATATTTTTAGTTTTTACTTTATATTTAAATAATTGATTGCTTCTTAATATAAACAATCGTACCAATCTAAAGTATAACATGATTTAAAAAAAAATGTTGTATTAATAAATAATGATGTAATATGTAGGTTCCCATTTTGCGTGAATAGATAAAACAATGAACTTAATTTATTAGTTTAAAAAAATGATGAATTTATTAATATTTTTTTTTTTTTTGACAATATTAAGTATAAAAAATTTTAATATCAATCTCATCTACATCGTACTAAACACGTAACTCGACGTACTCTACTATTGAGCAGTTAGGGTTCTACATCACGCATTGTCCGAAACTAGAATAGAAATATATATGTCTATGTAATTGCATATCAGAAAAACATTGAACTGGATAGCGCATATATTAGATAAACTCCATCTGTGGATTGAAGGAATTGTATAGACAGCCATTTCAAACTAATTAAATTTGAGGTAGGTCAATTAGGAGATAATGTTAATTTCAAATGAGGAATTGAGAGTACTGGGGAGTCATTTAATATTGAATAAAATTTTCTATGTAAATCGGATATATTAAAAGCAGCATAAACATTAAATATGTTTTAGATTTTAAATTACACTATGGTGTTAGTAACAATGATAACAGTAAAAGAGGCGATAAGAGTAGGTGTAGCCTATCGTGAGATGTGAAATAAGACAGATTCCACTTATATTGTTTTAATTTCCATTAAAATTATTGTAACCAATGTAAATGGAGAACTTTTATTTTAGTCGATAATGACCTATTAACCTTATTTTTTACATCGTTTATAATGCAATGATATTTCTTCCGAAAAATAACATAGACACCTGACTGAGCGATTGCGTCTTAACGTCAATGCTCGAGTTTGGAATACGTGAAGAGTGAATTTTCTAAGCGGATAGTTCATTCATGGTTATCGGGAAATGTGTCTAGTCAGCTTAGAGATAATACTGTGTAATAAATGATAAATGTATATGTACTAATATACATACTACGATGACGATGACTACAAAATGATTTTACCTACGCGTAATATGAATGATGTATAACAAGGTCGCGTTTCAATACACTAAAGAATGTCATGTGAACACGAGTTACTACGTAAATTATAGAATTATAATAAGAACTTTTATTTTTATTAAATTAATATTATAAATTATGTTATATCAGATTTAATTAAAATAATATTATTAATTGATAGTCTGTATCTTTTTTTATTATTTTGAATTACAAACAATAAAATGCATTTCATCTATTTATATTTTTTATAATCTTAGTTCTATTGATAATATCTTAGTAAAAGTTCATCAGCATAATAAAATCAGTTAAAAAAAATTACTGTATTAGTTTTCTTACACATTCTATATGCATTTACGACATTACTATATCCATATTCTACAAATAAAAAAATAATAAATGTGTTATTACTACCTACAAAAAAAAGTTTTTTTATTTTTTACATTCTATACGTAGTATTTTATTTTTTTTTTTTTTTTTGGAATGTTATATGATCATTAGCATATTTAAATATTATGTTATTTTTAACTTGGGGAACTAGCGTGTCGTAACCTATATAAATATCTACCAATAAAATTAGTTAAATTTTGACCTGTTACGAATCTTAATGTCACATAATGATTTTTAAGTTTAGGTATATGTATTTTCGTTAAATAATTATATACTCACCAATAAATCTGAGATTAAGATTCTCTGTTTATAAATTTATAATTTGAAAAAAAATAATGTAAATACAAAAATGTAGTTATGCTGTTTTCATGTATGATACTCTTAACAATAATTGTTAAACATTTATTATTCAGTTCTTAATATATTATAATTAAGTTTGAACATGATAATGCATAACTATATTAATTTCACTATAATTGAATATAATATAGAATTGTAGTAATTTATTATGTTTAGATTTAAAATTGTATAGAGTTTAAATGAGTTATCTTAATTTGTTTATTAGTTAATTATAAATTATATTAATATGATCACATGAATTACAAAGTATGGCTTTTATGACAGGTTATACAAAAGTATTATTTTATTGTACTTAAAAAATAGTTGAAATAGTCAACTATTATATTCATAATTGAATGATTGATTGATAAGATATTTTGTAGTTCTTGGTCTGTTATGTTTTATAATTAACTATCGTAGAAACGATATTAGTTATTAGGTTAAAAAATTATTTATTTTAATTCAGTTAACTTACCTACACAATCTAAGATTACAAATAAATTATAAATCAAATGTGTTTAATTCAATTATATTTACAGTAGAACTATAAAATAAAATTATAATTTTTTTTTTTTAAATCTATTACATAGTTTTTATAATAAAATTTTTAATATGGAACTATTATCTTAATAGTAGTACGCTTAGAAGAATACTTATACCTAATATACTACATTTTGTAAAACACGGTGGTCGTCTAAATACATTTTCTGTGAAAGTACGCTTAGAAGAAAACTTATACATAATATATCACTTTTTTGTAAAATACGCTGGTCGTCTAAATACAAAAGTATTTGAAATTCAAGAGTATTTTCAGAACATTTTATTTCAATTATGACAAGTTTAAAATCATTATTAAATAATGAAGGACATTCGAATTCTAATACAAGGCAACGAGCTCATTTCTTATATTCTGCAGCCTAAATTCATCATACTTAATTTTTATGATTACCATGGCGAAGTACAGTGCTATTTTAGAACTTGTAACAAATATGTTACAAAGTGTTATAAAGTTAGGGAGCATATTAATTCATTACTAATCATCGAAATGACGCTAATAATATTTTTCAAACATTATTTAACGATGTAAAATCAATCGCCATTGAAATAGATTTTGCCATTACAATTTTTGGCAAAATACGGACTGCCAAGATATTGATTTTATCGATTTGTTAAATTATAACTGTACATTTTTCCCAAGTATAGCTGTTGCTTTAGTAATAAATAATAATTATATCTCTTTCGGTTTCATGTTATACGTTCTGCTGTATTAAGATGTGTTAAAACATGGCTACGGTCAACGATGTGTGAAAATAGACTGAGTGAGATATGTATGTTGAGTGTTCATCAAAAAAAAGTAAATTCAAATAAAGAAAATTTAATTAAAAATGCACTGACACATTTTGTTAGAGAATGTCAACGGAGATTGCAGTTTGTATTTTATGAAAAAGAATAATATATAAATAAAAATAATAATACCGAATTATAATATTGACAAAACAAAATAATGTAATATAAAAAAAACGTATAAAAAAATTTTCATTTATTTTTTAAATTAATTTTTGCCTCCCTCCTTAGAAAATTGTCTATAGACGCCCATGTCCTTAGTGCTTTATCAGCTCTAAAAAACTTATCCACAAACAATAAAATACATAACCGAAAACATTCAAGCAATATTAATCAAAAAATTAAAATAAATATTAAACTTATGAGGGTAACTTCTCACATTGGTATTGCAAGAAATAAACAAGTAGTCAAATATGCCGATCTAGCGACGAAAAAAATTCCTAATCCTACAATAAACAACATAGATTTTGATGACATAAAATTTCCATTATTAAAAAAGCCCCCTCATCATGGCAGGATAACTGGAATTCAATACCAAATACCTAATAACTTAAAAGCATTAAAAAACTATCAAAATATATATCACACCCTTTTATACTTCAATAGAAGTCAAGACATAGTAATCACCCGTGCTAGAATTGGACCCTCCATGCTCACACACTCATTTTTAATCAGCTAAGATCCTCAACCAATATGCGAAACATTCTACCAAATACTTAAAATCGAGCTCATATTGCAGGAATGCACACAATACACCTCAATATGCCATCTAACATAGAAAGTCGACGAAAACAAAACTTTAAAAATTATTACATTCTTAAACTTGACAAATAATATTAAAACATTGTAAATAAGTTTAAACTATATAAGTTAACTGAACGTAAAAATAAAACGGGTTAAAAACCATTACTGTTGAAGCCTTATTTCAAATAATAATAAGAAATAAGAAACAGTCAATCATATCATGAACTTACTTTCAATAGCTGTGAAATTTTAAAAGTAAATCATATATAATATATATATATATATACATATTGGTATAATTATTAACAGATTTATTAATACAATGCCATTTGGATTTTAGAATACGGTGAATCAGTTCAAGTGAAATAATTGCGGTGTCGTCTTAATAATGGTGGCCATAATGGTATTTAAAGTTTTAGGAAGTTTTATGTCAGCTGTATAAATGTTAAATGAATCGGGAGAAATGTGTCTACCTCGGGGAATTCTAGCTTTAATTTGTTAGTACGAAGATACCAAATTCGTTCAATTTTATTAAACCTTGTAATAAAGAATGATACATAGGATATAGTTTTGGAGCTTCGTTTTATTTAAGGGAGACAGGAGTGTGATCAGAAGAGCTAAGATCATTTAAGTTAGTAACAGTTAATTTTATATATAGAAGTTATGTTGAAATACATAAATCTAAAATTCTTAGGTTTTTATTTTAGTGTTGTGGCCAGTAGATGGGGCCATTTAAGAATATGTGTGTATAATTGTAATTGATTACAAATTTTTCGAAGTATTTTTTCTCTTGGATTGTCATATGATATGCTCCCCATAGAGAGTGTTAGGCATTGAAATCGCCTATCAAAATTTTTTACCAAAATATTTGAAATATTCTTTTAGTTTTGAATTAATAGTAGGGTAGATAGGAAGGGAAACAGAAGATATTTTAATTGGTGTATGATTTAATGTCCATTGGATATTACTATTCGTTACTTGTATAAATGTATAGCAAACGTCTGATTAGCCGGATGTAAATAGTGTTTGATTTTAGGTAATATTATTAAATACGATCCTACATGCGCAGTGTTATCAGGATAAATTATTTACCATCGTTAGATAATAGTTTGTCAGAGACTGTTATAAGGAGTCTTATTAGTAGATTTTGTAGTGATTTAATTGAGCATTATTACTTAAAGTCAAATAAAGTAAACATTTAAAATTAGATAAAGGATGAAATTAATTTTAAATCTTATTATTGTGATTATTCTAACGTCAGGGTTATGCTTAAAAATTTTATCATTTTATTCTTTAAAGTTGACCAAATAGCCTAATATTACATATTTATTTTTTTAATTTTAAACAAAATAAAATAGTCAATACTATTATGAACTTACTCACGCCAACTGTGAAAGTATAAAAGTAAATCATAATTACAAATATATATAAACAAAGTTATTAATTAAATTTATTAGAAATGGTTTTATGATTGAAATTTTTCTTACATTTATATTTTATAAGATTAAAAAAAAAGAAGATATTTGTTACTTCTGTTTATTAATTACATACCTAGTTATATTTAAAATAGAAAAATTGTTGAAAATCAACATTTATGAAATATTCATCAAATGCTTCAAATATAAAAACACTTCTCATCGAAAATAAAAACATTTATCACTTTTTTTATTTAATTATGAATCTACTAAGGTACAAACTACAGAGAATCAAGAAAAATATATTTTTTCAATGTGTTATGGGCTACGAGATATACTAATAATATAAATATATCATAATATAATGTTTATGAGCTACGAGATATGCTAATATGTAATATAATGTGTAATATTGCTATAGGTGTTAGCAATATTAATCTAAATATATATATGATCTAATAATTATAATGTATACGAATATTAGATTCATATTTTGTAAAAACATTGTAATAAATCAAAATAGTAGTTGTTAGGCGAGGTCGTTTTGCATTTCCAAGAATTGCCAGTAAGACGATAACATCCTGGAGATTGTTGTTTCAAATGTGAAAACAATTCCAAGAAATAATCTAAATTGGAAGGTTGACGATTACAACAACAAGAGATTTTCTTGTATATAAGGGAGTCTGAAGACCAACAAGGGCAGATGTACCAGAGCTACGAAGAACTGAGCAACTTCACGACATTCAGCCACTTTTTATATCAATTACATGTATTTTATTTATACAGATTAAACATTATTGTATTTAAAAGTTGTAAATTTCATTTTAATAACACCTTGGATCTGGATCTGATATTGGCACGCAACAAATGATAGAATTAACAATAAAAAGACCGAATGGAAAATAACAAGAATGTATAATTTTAATAATACTTTATAACTGTTCAATACCTTATAAGAAAGCTTTATTTTAAAATGTATACACAAATACTATTATAAAAGGATTGTTTAATTTTAATGGTTTAATGAATTTAAACTTATGATAAAACAATTAGATATTAAGTAATTAATGTTTTTATGTGAGTATAAATATTACTGTAATTATAAACAAATTTATGGCCTTACTCTTATTATAAACCCATCTTGCTATAAAATATAAATACAATAAAGTGATTAAAATTTTTTTATGTTATAAATTATGTTTAATGATATAATTCGCGATGTAAAGACAAGTTATACTCATACATAACTTGTTTAATTAATAGATAATTTTAAACATCTATTCCGATTAAAAATAAATGCAATATAATAATACATACTGTATGCGTTCAATTTAGCAACTTAAAAAATTATATTAAATGAATGTTAGTATTATTTTAAAATAGTTCTTATAACGTTGATTTTAGAACATAAATTAAACAAAGTAAAGAAATGAATCAATTTAAATCTTTAGCTAAATACTTGATATATTATTTCAAAAATATAAATTAGTTTTATTATTATATCACTTAATGATAAATTAATCGTAGTGCCGGAAAGTTTATGTATTATAATTTAAAATGTTTAAAATGAAAAAATAAATAATCCACTGCTAAGAAAACGACCAGTAATGTTTTTACATTTTTATTTTTATTTCTCATACTTTTAAAGATATGTCCTTGACAATGTCGACACATTTTTTACATAACAAATTACAACTTCAATCAGGCAGTACATACCTACAATTTATATTTTCAAAGTGTTTTTCTCTATTTTTTTTTTTTTTTTTTGAACAATAGTTAGTTACTTGACAAACCACTTTAAAATCTAATAATTTAAGTACCTAATATAAGATATTCTAAATTAATTTTACTTAATGACTGGAACTGATAAAAGACAAATAATTATTGTTATATTAGCTGAGGACATAATACTTTTTTTTTTAATGCATTTCAATGAAATAGCATAAAAAAAGCATGTTAAAATGTTTATGTCACAATCTATGCACACGTCAATGATAATAAACTTGAACAATTAATATTAATTTAGTTATGCTATTTGATGTTGTATAGATATCCTTGTTAGTTTTGTCTTTTGCATTAGCATATTATGAAAAATACCTACAAAGGCTAAAAGCTATAATATCCAGTATAAATGTGATATTATTATTATATTTTACTTTTAAATTTCTCACAAATTCGATATTCGTCGAAAACATAGAACCCTTCATTTTTCGCTATAAAGTTTAAGTTCGTATATTTTGACAACATTTGATATTTAAATAAAAACAGCTATCATAATTTAACAATAAAAGATTTGTTTTTTTTTTTTTGTTTTTTTAAAAGTATAAACCGTAGAACTTTCCACCACTGCGCATATTGTTTATGTTTAAAATATTCATATCTCTTTTTGGTATAAATTTGTAGGATGGAAAATCTATACTAGAAAAATTTAAATTTATTTTATGTATACGTTTATTGTATTACTCACAACGATCTCCACAAAAATCTTTTAGACTCATTGGAGTAACTGTAATAAATGAATAAATCTCTTTATTATTTGGTTCTGTTTCTTTTTTCACTTGATACATAATAAATATAAAAATATAATAACAAGTATAAGTTCAACACGTTTAAAACAAACTTTATAATTAATTTGAAACACACTTATAAAACTGAAACATTGTAAGAATAATACTTACTTTCAGGTTTAAAATTTATAATTTCATTGTAATACTCAGTTACATAACCTGTCAGAAATTATAAATATTATAATCTATACATTAGTTTTATTATTTAAAAAAATATGTGTCAAAATCTATGAATAATAATATTATACAAATGCTGTCATCAATGACGAAATAATAATATTTGGGATTCCCGTTATTTGGAAAAAATAATCTGGCAATCATTTATTAACTGCTACACTCAAACCTGCTTATTACAATGATAAAATGTGAATATATAATTATAATATGTGATTTTTTAAATATATCTATTTATATCGTCTATATAATATTATAATAAATTGATTTTAAAAATGTTTGCATGACTGCAGTTTGGGAATACAGTCGACAGTTGTAATAAACATTATTTTTTAACCAAAAACACCCTGATTAGTTGAATAATTTAAAACTTTTGCTAAGATATATAAAAGATAATTAATATCTGTAGCCAATATAAAAATGTATTAAATAACATACTTTTAATATCTTTTTCTGTTAGTATTGATTTTCCATGCTCCTTTTGTAGCTGTAAATAAAATATATAAAACACAATAAAATTTGATTTGTGATTTTTGTAAAAATATATTAAAATTTGAAGAAACTATAAAATTAAAAAAAAAGAAAATTTTTCCATAATCATTATGACAGTTTCAAAAAACAAAAAAACGCTGAACTACAAGTAGTAGACTGTGAGTTTAAATCACTTTGTTACTCATTATTTAAATACCAACCAATAGATGACAACATCTTTTGTTTATCTTTCATTCTGTGAAACTTATTAATTGATATTGATTAATACCTTGTTTTTCTTGTGTCTTAATAGAAATGATTATATACCGTGACTATTTCAATTCAATAAGGTAACATCTAAAGCGTTTATTATTATATCTTCTAATTGTAGTGTATTATTGACATACAGAATAAGAAAATTAATTATGATATCGTTGTCAGGTATTAATTTTATAGTTAGTTAGTCAAAATTATGTTTTTTTAATAAAATTGAGATCAATTTCAAACGTTAAGAACAGAAGTAAATAAACAATCCATAGAACTCTAATTGAATAATACTAAATATCATTCGTATTTTAAAGAAATATTTGGAAGAATAAAATATTTAAATTGCGTTGAAAGTAATACTTGATATATTATATATTTTCATTCTTATTTTCAAAGCCTTAAAAAAGAATCAATACTATGCAAGCGTTAGTTTTTTCATATATTAATCAATTTCTAAGGTTTTCAACTAAATAATTTATAGTATTACATTTTGAAAGTGTTGATTTAATATGAATTAAGTGTAAATTATTTCTAATTATAATTAATTTAGTTTTATTAACATTAAGTATTTTTGAAGATATAAAAAGAACTATAATGTCTGAATGCTTTATTTTTTATTAAAAAAAAAAAAAAAAAAAAAAAATTAAAAATAGTTTTAACTTAAATAAGACTGTTTAATTGATGAATATTAAGTTTAAAATAATTTTACAAAACTTACATTTGTTATTATTGTTTTGCCTAATACACGATTTAAATGTGATTGAAATAAGTAATCTTCATCTTTTCTAGTACCTAATATTTCATGTTTATTATCCATAAACATGAGTTACCACACAAATAATGAAAAAAAAAAAAAAGTTATATTGTATAGGGTGTTACAGAATATTATATGTCTAATATTGTTTTTAAGCATTGGTATCAAATATATTTTAAAGATATAAATTATAACCTCACTAAATTACTTACTATAATACATTGCGGCATTGTAATTAATTATTGGTAATTTATCTACAGAAATACATTTAATACATCAGGTATTTATTACTCTCTCATATTATATGAAGATTTATGTAACGCACAATTTTTATATTAAAATGTATTGAATACTAATTTGTAATAATTAGGGATGTGAATTTGTAGGAAAGTATATTTTTTTTAACTGATTATGAATTTGTATTATGTAAAAAAAGTTCCATTTATGAAGCTTTTATTTTGAATTATTCGACGTTTTTAAATGTTTAGGTCATATTTTTATTTTAGTTAATGTTTTCGTATTTTTAATTAAATTCTGCAAATTGATATTTTTGAGAATATATTTTTATATTACACAGGTTGTACGAACCTCAAATTTATATTTTACATAAGCTGTATGCGGGTGAAAGATAATGATTCAATAAAATAAGGCAATATTGCTAGTTATTTGTGGCATATAAGTATATCAGTCACGAATTTCCAAATTGGTTGATTAATAATTTTAGTAGGTTATTGTCATTTAGTACCTTTTGGCTTTTCGACGTTAGCAAGGATACTACAATTTTTGTTATTTGAAGTACATTTTTTATTGCAGTTTTGAAATTTTAAAAGAATTTTTTAAGGTTTTTCATTGTTTTAAATTCACAGACCTGGTGATAATTATAAAATAGTTTCACCTATTGTATATGATTAGGAATATAATATAAATTACAAAAATTGATCTGATAACACTTAATTATAATACTATAAATAAGCTTACTTACACATAAAATCGACATATACTAAAAATTCTATTATTTTGTTTCCAAAATCAAACAAATAATATAAGTAAACATAAAATTAAAGTAAAAATGTCTTCTTGAAAATTTTAGAATAAGTAGGTAATAACTTCAATGTACAGATTAAATTCTTAATGTAATTCATCAGTTATCAGCAGGCTTCGAGACTTAAAATGCATACATATGAAAAGTAAAATATAATTTTTTATAAATTTGACATCCTTATAAGTATCAAAAAAAAAGTATCATATCCGATTTCTTCTATCTATTCTCGAACAAATATGTAAATGCATAAAGTCCTGATCCCTTGTTATCATTGTATCAGTAAGTCACAGTAATATATGTATATATAATTTGAATTAAATGATAAAGCATTCCATGTAAAAACGATTCAAAGCAAAGATAATTTTCCACTATATATTTTATAATATACAAATTGATATTCAAATAAACTATTTTAGTAATTATAATAGAAATGGTAAATAAATTGATTTATACCAAAATAATTGTATTTAAAAATTTCATCGTATGTAAGAAATATAATAATATGCATTAGATGTTTCAAGTAGTCATGAATAATATTTTTAAAATTGAAAAAAATAACTAAAATTCTATATTTTTGTTTAAATATACAATTTTATCTAATTTGAATTTGAAATGTTATTTACCATACTTGTATTTTATTTGTTTTTAAAGTTATTTAGAAAAATACTGTTAGTTTTTTACTTTTGATATTCCCAAAGTACCAAATGAGGCTAATTTATTTATTTACTACCACAGACGTTATTATGACACTAAAAGGTGATGAAAAAAAATTGTTATAAAATTAATGCATTCATCACTTCACTTAGAATTTATGAAAAATGAAACTTAATTTGTATACTCTGTTCCAATTAATATAAGGGAAACTGCTATGGCGCGTCCAAATGTACCACAAAGCAACGCCTGGACCTCCTCCCCACAATGATTGAGTCTAATTGCTTAGTTTTTGGTCGCCTTTAGTCAACTATAATCGTCGCCGTCGACGATGTCGTAGTAAACAGAGTATTGCAATTGCCAGAATAATCGGCGGCAGCGCCAAATGTAGCAGGAGTATCGAACAGTTTTCGTTTTTCCCCGCCAAATGCGTAATTGTTTTTTATGATTACTAATAATGAGTATCTCCATAAAATAAATAAATGTTTTAAAAACAATTTAAGATATTATACATTCCTAATATTATGTTAGACATAAACCGACATAAACTTTTCAAAATTTTGATGAATTCTATAGAAAATTTAAATTTAAATGATTAAGAAATAGTAATGTAAATATAAATTTTCAATCTTATATTTGAAGGAGGTTAACAACGTATTGCTTCCCTTGGAATCTTAAAACAATGTTATACAAATACACTATAAAATGTATAATAATACATATACTGACATATATAAATATCTTACCATTGCATACTAAAAAATTAAATAACATAATATAATTTTAACTTAACAAATATGAATGCTTAAATTTTAATATAAGACAAAGCTTGAAATATTATAAAAGTATGTTAAGTAGGTACATTATATAATAAATTCATTTTATCATAGTTATATCATATCTAAAATACAACTGTTATTTACTGATTTAAAATCTATTACATTTGCATTCTAAAAACAAAAATAAAATATGCATTAAGTTTATGATTTGATATTTAAAATATTTTTAGTAATACATACGAGTATATTATAAATTATAATATAAAACACAATTGTTGATGATCCTGGGATTTATCATTTATATATTTTGCGTATTTTAAATTGGATGAATTGGTAAAGAATATGTACTTTTTACGTATAATTAGTTTTTGTTTAAATTCCATGCGACATAATATTCTGTGTTTTATTTAATGTACACACATACAAGTGCGTTGATATGTATATGAGTATGAACACCATATCGTGTGTAAACAAGAATTGTACTGTGTAATTTTACAGTATCTTTGTATGGAAACCAAATTATATTTAAATGTGGGTGTAGAGTGCACACACAGTCGTCTTTGGTTATGCAAAGACCCTAAGGAACACAACGTTTTAAAGTTCTTAAACCATTAAAAAATAAACTATTGTAGACTTATTGCATAAATAATGTATCATCCGAATTAAATTGTAATTAATTGATTTTTAAGTACACATTTAAAATGTTCAAGTATTAAAATACTATCCTAGTATACATTATTAAAATCAATCAACATAATTTATATTCCTAAATAAATAAACTAGAGTAAATAATATGGATCTTTATATAATATATAGTAACTATAATTAATTAATTAATTAATTAAAAAATATCGGAATATGCCGTTTGAATACAAATATAGGAATATATTAGTAATGGTTGTGTGAATAGTAATAGTAATAATAATAATACAATAATTACATTCATTATGACAGTAAAAAACATATTTAATAATTAAAACAACAGAAATTTTATTTTAACAAAAAAACGAGGAATCTTCATTTAGCAGTATAATTATTACATTAAACTTTTCAATTCGTTAGTCAACATCTCGTTTTCTCATTCGTTGTGTCAATTTTAAAAACGATCAGTGAATATTTTAGTATGATATAAATTGTCATACTATGAGATATTTGGGTATTCACTTCAATACGTCACACAGTAAGGTGTCAGTCAGATTTCGTCTTAAAATAATGAATCTATAACCTAATTTTTACTTAAAATTTTTAATCAACAGTTTTCAATTATTTAGAAATAGGTACAATATTTATAAATTAATTGATGTTCGTTACCTATTTGAATTTGATCTTCAGAAAATTCACAATGGCTTATATTAATTGTAAAAGTTAATATTATTAAAACTTTAAATGAAATCATAGCTATTTTTTTTTGTTTTGATAATTACAAAAATATAACAACTTAGATAATCACAACTTTGTTTTTCAAAGAACAAATTTAAAATGATGGCATTCAACTTAGGTACTGTATACACTAAAAGAGTGCCTATTTGTTTTGGATTATATGTAATAAAACAAATGATTAAATATTGTATGAATTTATTTCAATGACATTTGTTTTAACAATCGAAATGAAAAAATGTAATGTGAGGTGGTACAAACATGTTAAATTAATTAATAATGTTATATGGTATACATAGGTATGTAAAAGTAACATCAAAATATTGAAATATATTTTAACTAAATTAAATTTTGAAACTCTTAGAATTTATTAAAGCATGCGATTATTAAAATTTATTTTTTATTGTAAATTATATCAAATTCTTATTTACTTTATTTTTTTCCACACACTTGAAAAGTCTTAGTAAGCCACAGCTTTTTCTCGTCATACTTACAAAGTAACAAAACTATAAGCTGTTATTAAGTTTACATTTCGAATATTTTGAAACAGCTTTTACTATTTACATTTTATAGTTTATACCAAGAGAATAACAATGATATGATATATCATTGTGCATATCTTACACACCAATTAACAACTGTTTTACTATAAAATTTAAATATTAATATATATTAAATATGTACAATTTATGACATGTAAATTTAAAGTTTTTTTTTCTTTATCAATAATTATTAACATCTAAGATAAGGTATCATTTTTAAGATTTGGACCTTTATTTTGAATATTAAAAAAATCAAAAAAAGTCGGAAGTGATACACAATCACTGACATTTTGGGTTAAACAATAATTTTTCAAGAAAGTTAAAAAATGCATGAAATTAACAAATGAATTAAAAGTTATCAATTATATTCAATCAGTATATTATTATAATTCTGCAGTTGATAAAAACTATTGAATGGATTCAAATCCATTCCAAACATAAAACTAATTAATACAAATTGAATTAGTTCACACCTTATGGGTTTTATTTCTACATAAAATCAAGTAAAATTAGTGAAAATTCAACTGGTTAAATATCTAAGAACTAAAAAGTAATGTATTATATATATATTTAAAATTTTTGTTGTAAAATATATAGCACATAAACATATCATTTTTACTTTAATTTTTTAAATATTTAATTACTTTATATACCTTAATTTGAAGCTTTTCTAGATCCATTTTCTTTGACATTTCAAGGTATGTTAAAGGATCTGCTTTAAATGATCCATCCTTCAATAAAGAACCCCAAACGATTTCTTTTTTTGTAAAATCTGCTTTTATTAAAACAATGTTTAACAAAGTACAATTGTCTTATAATGTCCATAAAGTATCATCACCACGAACTTTTCTAAATAAATTACCCTAAAAAACAGACAGGAAAGAATGACAATATTACAATGACACAAGAAATAAGTGTTGCAAACTAACAGAATATAAAGTTTTTCCTAAAATTTGACAAATAATACTTGAGTTAGTGACATTGATTTTGATATCTTTGGGTTTGGTATACTGGCAGAGTTACTTCAATATGTAATTCATCCACAGTTTGCCACCATCTACACCATTTTGTAATACATGGTAAAACAGGAGCGGAGTGGCCCACCAGGATAACGGGAAAAATCCCGGTGATCTGGAAGCTAAATGGCCCATTAACCTAAAGGGATACAACTCATTTAAGCACATTTACGTTTTTCAAAACTCGTTTGTGCACAAAAACATAAATAATATGCGAGCAATATAGAAACCTTTTTCAAAGAAATTTACTCACGTTTAGGTGTACATAATGTGCGTACGTACCTCCAAATTTTCGAATTGGTCATTAGCAGGGCTGTACACCTAATGCACTAAAAATTATTAAATGCGTGCATGTATTTTGGCACTAAAAACAGGCAAAATATATACTAAAAATAAAAATAAAAACATGCAAATGTATTAAATTCACAACACTGGTCATGATGGTGGAAAATTATCATACTCTACAACATTTTTCTTCACCCTTTATAAAGCTTAAGACTTACTGTGTAATCATATTCTGGTATCATAGACTGGTGGGTTTAAAAATGCTGTTTAAGTTAATATTTATTATATTATATTGGATGGCGTTTGCATTAAATATGTTAAAATGTCAATTTTTTGGATTTATAATCAGGAGTATATTTTTTTCACATGATTTTATTTTTTTAATATTTCATTTCTATAGCTTATTATTAACCATCTTAATTAATATTGACTTGAATTTTCATAAATATTAGAAGTTATAGATTATAAATAAAGCAATAAAGATTAAAGCTTGTCCAACACGACTCATGCATTTGGCGAGCACAGTAATCGCGATTATTATAACATATTTTTACTGTTAGGTGATAACTGATAAGTAGGGCAGAGGACTTGTAGCATTTGCATATTTGTTTTACACAGTCACAAAAATAGCAGAGTACGAAACAAATACGTTTCATGCTTTCACAAAGCTAGTTTTGAAATTTTATTTTGCATATAAATGCATATTTTGAGTCTTTTTTGTTTTTAGGGCATATTTTACACTTTTATACGCTATTTTATACCTTTTAAGACATATTTAACTTAATTCAATTTTTTCCACATCGACATTTTTATTTTAAATAATACAGTCAAAATATTTGGAGAAAAATTTATTTATTTTAAATTTTTGTCGAATAATATGGTTTTTGACTGTCCGTGGCACACATTTTTCCTAGAAGCGCTTGCAGAGAATCGCCGATATACCAATAATATTAATTTGCTGTAATTAATTTTATTAATAGATAGATAACAATCTAACGTCGTACACTAACATACAACATCACCGCCTTAGTGAGCCGTGTGCGCACAATGCGGGCTTTTATTCGATAAGGATTTATTTATAAAACGTTTCTAGAAACGACAATAAACGATAATAATCAATATTTTAGTATATTTTAGTCTCAGTCACTAGTCAGTTCTACGGAATGTACATTCGTGTTATCGTGCCGACTTATTATCCATACTATAAATTTATTTGAAAGTTTTTATTTGTAATAAAATGCCGAAAGATAAACAGCCTTTAAGTAGTCGGTTAAAATGTTTTGTGTCTGAGTTTGGTGCCTGTACGTTTTCGACCGACGGTAAAGTCCTGTACTGTAAGTATTGTGACGTTAAAATAGGAAGTGAAAAACGGTTTAATGTTACGCAACACCTTAATACAGACAAACACAAAAAATCGATTATGCGTAAAGAAAAAAACCAAAATGTACATGAATTGGGAAAATTACAACAATTGGTGAGTAATTCTGAAAAATCATCTTTCAATAAAGACTTATGTTCTGCAATGCTATCAGCCAACATACCTCTTAATAAGCTAGGTAACATTCAATTTAAACAATTTTTGGAAAAATATACGGGGAAACAAATTCCGGCCATTACTACTCTACGCAAAGGCTATGTCGATGAAATTTATTCTGAAACTATAAATAAAATTAGAAATGCTATCACTGGTAAAAAGATCTGGGTATCAATAGATGAGACCACCGACTCATTAGGCCGATACATTGCAAACGTAGTAATCGGTACTCTTGAAACCGATGGTCCAGGCCAGACATTTTTATTGAATTCCGAAGTACTGACCAAAGCTAATCATTCGACTATTGCGAAATTATTTGATAATTCAATGCATCTATTGTGGCCAGAATAAGTGCGTTACGACGACGTCCTATTGTTTTTAAGTGATGCGGCGCCTTATATGGTGAAATCCGGGAAGTCAATTCAATTATTTTATCCTAAAGTTATTCACGTTACTTGTATTGTGCACGGGCTTCATCTTATTGCTGAAAAAATTCGTTCAAATTACTGCAAAGTCGATAAAATCATCGCAAATGTCAAAAAAGTATTTTTGAAGGCGCCTTATCGTGTTGCAATATTTAAAGACAAAGCGCCCAATATTCCACTACCACCAGCACCTATTTTAACAAGATGGGGGACGTGGATAAGAGCCGCTGTGTATTACTGTGAACACCTTGAAATTATTAAATCTATTGTCGACGCTTTGGATAAAGAAGACGCTATTTCTATTGCAAAATCACAAAAGCATTTTTCTGAAGCAAGCCTTGCGGCTAATTTAGTATATATCAAGTCACATTTTGGATTTTTAACTGATACAATTACCAGTCTTGAAGCAAAAAATATTTTACTTAGTCATGCTATTGGTGCAGTGCAAAATGTTAGTTTGAAATTGAGTCAAGTCCCTGGTCCAATTGGAAAAATTGTTAAAGAAAAGATGAATGATGTTCTGAAAAAAAATATTGGATATCAAAGTTTAATTCGAATTTCAAACATTTTAAATGGCAAAGAAACTTCAATGGACGAACTACCCGAAAATTTAAGCACAAACGATTTGATCTACTTTAAATACGCTCCAGTTAACTCTGTCGATGTTGAAAGATCATTCTCAATGTTCAAAGTTCTTTTGGCAGACAACCGACAATTTTTTCAGTTTGAAAATTTAAAAAAAACATTTGATCGTTCAATGCAATTTTCAAGGTAAAAGTATTATTAACATTAATTAAATATGTATCAGCTAAAATTATTTTTACTAAACCATGGATTTTATTTTTTTTATAGTGCCAGAAGAAGAAGTATAAAATTAAGAAAAATGTATTTTGCTTATTTGGCTATGATATAAAGTATATTTAAACTATGTAATTATTTTGACTTGTTTTAAATGCTATTTATTTATTTACTTTTAAATAAAAATGCTAAAAAAATGTTTAAGTGCATATTATTGGATTTTTAAGTACATAAGTGCTTGCATATTTACAGCTTTTTTAGAGCTATAAGTCCTCTGCCCTACTGATAAGTGATGACACCCAAAACTGTACCTATTTACCTAAACATTTTAAAATTATTAAATTTTGGTTACCTATTTTAGGTTTTAGATTTAAAGTTTTTTTTTAATAGTTTTATCAATAAAACACATAACTATGCAATCAAATTTTATATTTGTGATTAACCTATTAACATTTAAACAAAAAATGCATTATATATATGAATAAAATAAATTTTCTATTC